TTATTATTTTTCTTGCGAATAGATTCTTATCAAATTCATAACAGGACCATGGTTGGGTCATACAGAAGTAATTCAGTCTCATTTTTGTTTAATTCTTTTCAATAAAACTTACATTATTTAGGCACAGTAACATGGAAAGGAAAAGGTGTCCTATGATAATTTAATTATTTACCAACTTCCTCCCCGATCTTATATAAATGGTTGTCAAGTCTGTAAATATAATATAGGTATAAATTATAAATATAATATTATAAATGATAAATAAAATATTATAAATATAATTGGTATAAATAGGTATAGACATTTTATAAAGAGAAAAAAAGATTTTGATGTAAGAATGTAAGAATTTTTTTTGACCAAAACTATATTTTACTTAGTACTTAAACCGTTGCAGATAAAATCATATAACTTACATTAGAATAAATGATAGATTCTCAGGCAAAATGTGATGCATTTTTAAACTGCTAATTTCAAACCATAATGCTAATACAGCTAACTAAACATTGGATGACAGGGGTGGGGTAAGTTGTAACACATTTTAGCATTCCCTTACATAGAACTGAGAACTTTCATGTTGTCTATATGAAGCTTTTTTGGCAGCTCAAAGCCAAAGGAAATGTGGATAAATGTGCCCTATGCAGTTTTTGGATCCACCAAGTCTGCACTCTAGGGTTAAAAACATTGGTTTGTCACAATGGTGACAAACCAATGTTTTTAACCCTAGAGTGCAGACTTGGTGGATCCAAAAACTGCATAGGGCACATTTATCCACATTTCCTTTGGCTTTGAGCTGCCAAAAAAGCTTCATATAGACAACATGAAAGTTCTCAGTTCTATGTAAGGGAATGCTAAAATGTGTTACAACTTACCCCACCCCTGTCATCCAATGTTTAGTTAGCTGTATTAGCATTATGGTTTGAAATTAGCAGTTTAAAAATGCATCACATTTTGCCTGATAATCTATCATTTATTCTACTGTAAGTTATATGATTTTATCTGCAACAGTTTACATCAAAATCATTTTTTTCTTTATAAAATCTGCATATACCTATTTACAGCCTTGACAACCATTCATATAAAATCAGGGTGAAAGTGGGTGAATAATGAAATTATCATAGGACTCCTAGCTTATACCTGATAGGTGGAAATGGTGTGGTTACAACTCTCCCCATGTTACAACCATACCCAGTCTCCCCTAATATTCTCACTAGAACATTGACACAATGTTTCAAGATAACAAAGAACGTTCTCTCAGCCACATTAGAAGAACATCAGTGAGGCCAGAGAAGATGGAATATTTTTATAAAACGTTCTTGTAATGTGAAATATTAACAAAGCTAGAACATTTTATCTGCATCATTTTAAAAGATGTTTTGTGGAGGTTGTTGACGTAACAGATAATGTTCTCAATAAAACACGGGCACAATGTTTCAAGATAACAAAGGAAGAACATGCTCTCAGTCACATTAGGAGAATGTCATAGGAACATCACTGAGGCTTGAGATTGTGTAATGTTTTTATAAAACGTTCTTGTAATGTGACAAAGCTAGAACATTTAACCTGCAACATTTTAAGGATGTTGTTGGCACAATGTTTCAAGATGACAAAGGAAAAACATTCTCTTAACCACTGG